TAGTGGCCAGCAACAATAGTTTATGAAGCCTTTTGTTGGCCAGGTTGGAAGGCCATATGGGGGACACCAATAGTTTGGAAGATTATTTGAGGGACTGCAACAGCAAGGTGGCCCAAGGTTGAGGCCAAAGATACAGCCAAGAATGGTTAAACCACCAGTGCCACCTAACTTGGGATGGCATGGGGTTGTTCATCCAAAGTTTCCTTCAGGAGGATGGAGGCCAATTGGACCAACCAGAACTCAGAAAAGAAGGGAACAGAGAAGGTTCCATGCCATGATGTCTCGAATGACAGGTAACGGACCTCCAAAGAATTTGGTTTGGGCTAAAGAGGGGTTTGTGCCACCAAAAGCAATGATAAGCTCAACATCAAAAGAATAGATAGTCTAACCACCTAATCAGAATTTGAAAAAAACCAATGATAGACAAAGAGAGAAAGGAGGGAAAGACTTTGCCTGACAAGGCAATGCTGAGGTTGAAATTGAAACAATTGGAAAAAGAGTTGATGTCTGATGAGGAGGATGGTATGGTTGATACATAAATGAAGAAATAGTGTTGGTACAAAAGACGATGCTAAGTCAGAGAGTTCAGAAGAGTTCGAAGAGAAAATGGCAACCATTCAGTTTGGTTCTTTGCCTAATTCAAAAGAGTGCAACATGATTATGGCCATTCCAAAGAGGTTTCAGGCCAAACCAGCCAAGCCAGACATGTTGGCAGGTGATGTAGAAGACTGGACAGAGTCAGTTGTGCAGGTGGCAATGTTTGAGGCAGGAGTTAAGCCACCAAGATCTATAGAGGTGGTTAAGACAGTCGATGGTGAAAAGGTGGTGCTGCAAAAGCCTGAAGAAAAGTTGATCAAGCACTTAAGGCCACTATATGTGAGGGCCCATTTAGATGGAGTCCCAGTTAACTGAGTGTTGGTGGACAATGGAGCTATAGTCAACATTCTTCTTTCTAAGACTCTGAGAGCAATAGGCAAGTTAGTGGAGGACTTGTTGCCTATTGACATTAATATAAGTAATTTTGCTGGAGGCTCATCTGACGCAAGGGGAGTTGTTGCCATACAACTTCAGGTTGGTTCAAGGTCGATGGGAACCACCTTCTTTGTTATTGATTCCACTTCTAACTACAATGTGCTGTTGGGAAGAGACTGGATGCACTTTAATGGGTGTGTGCCATCTTCTTTACATCCAGCTTTGATTTTCATGACTGGTAATGAACAGGATGCCCGTAAGGGAATGGAGATTTTTTGGGCAGATGCCAACCCTTTTGCAGCAGATGTCAACAACATAGAGGCTGTGTTTTATGATGAAGACTTAGGACCAGTTGAAGTGGCTGAAGATGAGGTCAAGTCTCAAGGGAAAAGCTTAACCAATGAAGAGTTCAAGCACATCATAAAAGAGGGATTCAAGTAGATAGGCCAGGAATTGGCCAAACCAGGCCTGATGAAGAAAAAGAAAGGGCTTGTGATTGAAGAGATGACAGAAAATTAGAAAGATGCAGATGCAGACATGTGAAAAAGACAGGCTGGATGAGACAGCCACAACCGTTGTAATTAGGTCTACTTTTTCCGGACTTTTAATTTCTTTCTTGCATGTAGGTTTAATTTTAAGTCAATGCCTGTTTGTTCATGGGCAGAATGTGTAATAGACAATAGCTCTCTGAGTTATAAAGAGGTGCAGTTAGAGCACTTGAGAGTTGCTCCTGCTAAGTTAGATGACCTTAAGGCAGATGTTCAAGATCCCTTAGAGGAATTCAACTTAGGCACTGAGGCTTGTAAAAGGCCAATTTATGTAAATGCTAGTTTATCTAATGAAAGTAAAAGCAAGTTGGTTGGCTTGCTGGATTGCTTTGCTTAGAGTTATAACGAAATGCCTGGTTTGAATAGTACATTAGTAGAACACAGGTTACCAATAAAAGAAAACTTCACTCCACATAAACAACCCCGTAGAAGAATGACTAATAAAGTCACTTTGTTAGTCAAAGAAGAAATTGAGAGGTTATTGAAAGCAGGTTTTATCAGAACGGCCAGATATGTGGAATGGCCATCGAATATTGTGCCTGTCATGAAGAAAAATGGAAAATTGAGAGTTTGTATAGATTTCAGGAACTTAAATCTAACAACTCCAAAGGATGAGTATCCTATGGTAGTGGCTGATTTATTAGTTGATTCAACAGCCAAGAGTAAGGTCTTATCTTTCATGGATGGGCATGCTGGACATAATCAGATTTTCATTAATCCAGATGACATTCATAAGACTGCCTTTGGATACCCAGGAGCTTTAGGCACATTTGAGTGGGTGGTAATGCCTTTGGCTTGAAAAATGCAGGGGCCACTTATCAAAGAGCAATGAATTTTATATTTCATGATTTTATAGGAAAGTTCTTAGAAGTATACATTAATGATGTGGCTGTCAAATCTGACACATTTGAAGAACATCCAAATCATCTAAGGCAGACATTTCAAAGGATGAGGAGTCACCAGTTAAAAATGAATCCTTTGAAGTGTGCCTTTGGGGTAACTGTTAGTAAGTTCTTAGGCTTTTTGGTGGATCATAAAGGAATAGAGGTGGGTGCCAACAAAGCCAAGGCTATACTTGAAGCTAAACCCCCAAGCAACAAAAGAGAATTGCAAAGTTTCCTGGACAAAGTCAGAAGGTTTATAGCTAATTTAGCCAGGAAAACTTTGGTGTTTTCTACCTTGGTAAAAATAAAGTCAGCCAGTGAGTTCAAGTGGGAGGAATGTCATCAAAAAGCTTTTGATTTGATTAAGAGTTACTTAACCAGTCCTCCAGTGCTCATGCCTCCTGTTTCTGGGAAGCCTTCGAAGCTTTATATTTCAGCATGTGACTTGTCGATTGGATGTTTGCTGGCCCAAGAAAATGATATGGGCCATGAACAAGCCATCTATTACTTGAGTAGGAGATTGAATGATGCTGAAACTAGGTATACTTCTGTTGAGAAGTTATGTTTGGCTTTATATTTTGCTGCCATAAAGCTCAGGCATTATATGTTGCCTTCAGAGGTGTTTGTTGTGGCACAAATTGATGTGATAAAATACATGCCATCTAGGCCTTTATTAAGAGGCAAACAAGGCAAATGGATCTTGGCATTAATTGAATATTGCTTTAAATATGTGCCACAAAAAGCAATAAAGGGACAGGCTCTAGTAGATTTTCTGGCAGAACATCCATGCTTGCCTGTCAAACCAAATCTATTTGAGGCTCATATGGTAGATACTGAGCCTTGGAGGATAATATTTGATGGGTCCAAGACAGATGAAGGAGATGGGGCAAGTATTGTTTTGATTGCTCCTAACCAGCAAATGCACCAATTTGCTTACCAGTTGGATGAGCAACATGTGCAGTCTTGTAATCAAGCTGTATATGAGGCTTTGATAATTGGACTTGAATTAGCCATAGAATTTAAAGTTCAAAGATTACAAGTTTTTGATGACTCTCAACTAGTCATCAAGCAAATGGAAGGGGAATTCAAGTGTGTGAACAAAACTTTGGAAGAGTATTTAACTGAGGCAAAGTGGTTAGTAGGTTTTTTTGACCATGTGTCTTTCACACACATGTACAGAATAGAGAATAAAGAGGCCAACGAGATGGCTCAAGCAACAACAAGGTTGAAAATTCCTAAAGGAGCCCAAGAAAGAATCATAAGAATTCAAAGGAGGAATTTCTTGGCTTTTAGGGATAGGCATAGGGATTTCTTGCCAATAATGACACTTAAGGTGTCTGAGGGTGATTGGAGGTTTCCTCTAATCAAGTACTTGTCTAACCCTAATGAGACATGCGACAAGCAAGTAAAATATCAAGCCTTAAATTATGTCATCATGGGTGATGATTTGTTCAGGAAAGCACATGATGGGCTAACCCTGTTGTCCATAGGCCAAGAGGATCAAATGAAAGCAATGGCAGAGGCACATGAGGGTATTTGTGGAGCTCATCAAGCTAGGGATAAGATGAGATGATTGATTAGCAGGTACGGGTATGTTTGGCCATCTATAAGAAAAGACTGTGATACACATGCAAAGGGATGCCAAAGTTTCCAGAAACATGGCAATGGCCAAAGGGTCCCAGCTACAAGATTAGTAAAACCATGGCCTTTTAGAGGTTGGGCAATGGATTTGATAGATCAAATATTTCCACCTTCATCAAAAACACATTCATATTTGTTGGTGGCAATAGATTACTTTACCAAATGGGTAGAAGCAATCCCATTAAAAGTTGCCACACAGACTCAAATTATTGAATTCCTTACAAAGAATGTGATCGATAGGTGCGGTTTGCCTGAAACAATTACTATCGATCAAGGGACCATGTTTAATGGGGATGAGATAAGGGAGTTTGCCACAGAGCACAGCATCCATATCCTAAATTCTTTTCCCTATTATGCCCAAGCAAATGAGCAGGCTGAGGCAACAAACAAAATTGTGAAGAATACTTTGGAGAGAATGATTGAGAACAATCCTAGAGATTTGCACAATCTTTTGTCTAAGGCATTATGGGCTTATAGAAATTCTAGGAGAAATAGCACAAGAACAACCCCATATGAGTTGGTGTATCGGCATGATGTTGTTCTCCCATTAGAAGTAACTGTAAGGTCCAATCGACTGGCTGAATAGTTGAACATCGCAATGGATGAGTACAATGAAGCCATGACAATTGAGTTACAAGATTTGGAAGAAAAGAGGATTTCTGCTTTCAATCATTTAGTTGCACAAAAGAAGAAAGTAGAAAGAAGTTATAACAAGAAAGTAAAGCATAAAGTGTTCTCTGAAGGAGAATTAGTTTGGAAAACTATTTTGCCTCTTGGAACAAAAAACTCAGAGTATGGGAAGTGGTCTCCTAATTGGGAAGGACCCTTCAAGGTATTCAAGGTCCTTAAAAAAGGGACATACCATCTTGCATCCTTAGAAGGAGAGCCACATAGAAAAATAATCAATGGAAAGTATTTAAAGAAATACTACCCTACCATGTGGGAAAACAAGAGATGAAGATAATCACACACATGCATCCATTCATATAAAAATAAGCATGTACAAGCCAGAGTCACAAAGCAAAAACAAGTGTACAAGGGATTCAGTCTTTTTGAAAGTACAAAATAAAGTTGCTCCAGGCTTGTAGCACACTTCTCTGTTTTGCTGCTTTGTTGGAGGTTGGCCTGGGCAGATTTGATGTTGGCAGGACCATTTTCTGCCTGAGTTAACAACAAGTTTTGCATGTTGGCTTTGATTGTGGATTGCTCTTGCTTGAGGGTTCTTTTGATTCCAACTTGTGCCAATTGAGCCTCCAAATGAGCTTCTTCTGATGATAATAGGTTATCTTGAGTGACTGTGTCTTGAAAGGCTTGAGAAGCACCAGCCAAAGAAGCAGCCACTGACTTCAGCTGGTCAATTTGAGCTTTGCTGGCCTCAAACTCAGCATGATGCTTATTGAAGGCTGAAATATGTGGAGGAAGGGCGGTCAGGAAGTCCATAAAAACTTGTATTTGATCTGAGTCAAACAATTTTGGCATTAGAGCTTGAGTGGCTTGGACACGGTTGAGAAGGTCTGTGGATCTTGTGAGGGCTAACTCATCGAATGAGAGCTGTAGAAGTTGAAAGAATTGGTTGGAAGCTTCCATGAGTAAAGCTTCAAAGGTAGGAAGAGTATTCATTCAAGACAAAACCAGTTTCACCTTGAATGAGGGGGGCATTGTTGGCACCAAAACTTAGAATTCTCTATCGACAGAGGAATAAACACGTGCAGAAGAGGACCAAGAATGAAGAAAGTGAAATTAGTGGCCTAAAAAAGAGGAATGAGGATGCAATACATGGCAATTGCAGGAGGAGAGAAAATGCAAAGGTAGAGTGATTGCAGTTCATGGGCAGTTATAGAAGCCTAGCAAATGGGCACGTGGCAGCACAGCATAGCCATTGGAAGCCATATAAAAGCTTGGAATTCAAAGGAGAAGGGGGTTTCAACCAAATTTACAACTCATGTGAAATTAGGAGTAGCATGACTGAATTAGGAGTAGTTCTTGTACTTAGGAGTAGTCTGTTTGTAATTCGGTCTTTGTAATCAAGTTTGGCTCTGTCGATTGTTGTGCCTTTTGAACTTGTAATTTAATTCTTGTAATTAAGTGACAAGTTTACTTGTTTCTCAATCGACTTTCAGTTTATTTGCACTTGTTTCTTCGCATTGCAACCTGCAAAGAAGTTCTTGAAACTGTCAAGATATAGGACGCTAACCACATTGCCTGATTGAATTTCTATTTGTGAAAATTGATTTTCTCTGTCGACTTTTTCCTGTCAATTTGATCCAAATCAGATTTTTGCCAACTCAAATATTGGCCACAGTTTAATTCAAACAAGCAAAAATGTTTGATGAAATGAAATTAACAAATTAAAATAAGCATATTAATAAGAAGAAGAAATAAGAATGGTAAGTGGAAATATAATGAGAGAGAGAGAGAGAGAGAGAGAGAGAGAGAGAAGGCAATGTTCAATAAAGCTTTAAAGCTGTGACTTAACAAATGAAGATTACCTCCAAAAGAAATTAATTGTCCTCTTTATAAGCTTAAAAATTTCTCAGGGTGTGAAAAACAAAGAAGCTTGGCATACACAACCAAGCAAATCAATGGTGGAAAATAAACAGACAATGTTGAAATTAAAAGCCAAAGAATTTGACAACAGATTGAAATCAGTTCGACTTACTTGTTCACATCAGGATAATAACTTCTAGCAAGCTTCCAATAAGCTAAAAATGAAAGAAGAAATAGTTAGCAATATAAATGAACCAAAAGTTATTACTAAACAATGCTAGTGTTAGGATTGAAGAACAAATATAGACGTAGAAAGCCAAATCTGAAGGAGCACAATAAGATACTTTCAATCAAAAGTAGAAATACTTTTTTATGAGTAACATCATTAAGCTTTATTGACAAGAAGCTGAACAAAAAAGGCCACGTCCAACAGAAGGGAAAGAAAAAATCTAAGCAAATCTAGGCCAAATAATGCTACACTAAGAAGCACAGACACTTCTATGGAGGAGGTGTGTCGTGTCATACACCCTTGTCACACACCAACACATTGCGGACACTCCTAAAAGCATGTCCGACACGAGATGCCAGATACTCGAAGGTCTCTTTAGAATGACAGCAAGAGACATGTACATAAAAACAATAAAGTAATCTCAAAGAAAAAGGAACAGAATCTTAAAAAAGAAGCAATCAAACAAGTAGCAGTAATGTGTGTAAGCACGTAACACACCATTAACATGATAATAATGTTTGATTTCGGATGACACTCCAAAAGGGATGACCCTTGTAGCACAAGAAATAATTACCAAAAGAAAACATAAAGTGTGCACATACAAAACACATCCCCAAATAGGAACTATATCACAGAATTGAGAAAATTAATTTTTTTTTTTTTTTTTTTTTTTTGCCTTTTTTTTTTTTGATCGGCACAGAAATGCGCAAATTTTGAAAAGAATCAAGAATTTACTTACCACTTTTGATTTCAGACTTGCTAGCAATTTTGGCACCCCAAGAACAGCATAAAAATCTTGTATGGTCAATTTATCTCACTCTATTTTATTTTTGTGTTTCAGGTAATAATACCAATAGCTGCCTCAACCTATGAGCATGCCAACCGTCTCCCTAACTAGCCACTATCACATCCCCTCCATAACCACCAATGCAGATGTAACCACAAAAACCGTCCAACTCTCACCAGCTCGATGATTGTAGAGGTGGTTCAATGGTTATACAGTTTCTCTCCCATCTATGCACATCTCTTCATTTCAAAAACTCCTTAACCAATTCAAACTCAAATCTCAATTTTGTAACATTCACCACCGCAATCACAATTCAGGATTGCCATTGGGGTGCTTAGATTTTTAAAAGAGGGGACAATGTACAAATTTGTGTTTTGGGGCTTCAGATGGTTATTCACAAAAAATTAGGTTTTGTGAATCTAAATGTTATTTGTTAATGCTTTTGATTAGCAGGGACCATACAGAGGTTGGGACGAACATTGTTGCACCTGGTTACTCCTTCAGTGTTGTGGACTTTTATCATTTTAAAGTTATTTAAGAATTTAGCAATATGTTAATTACGTGAAAGAAATTAAAATTTTATTTAATTGATGGATGATTTAAAATTCAATTTTGTTCATTCGTTAGTAATAGCATAGATAATAGAAATAGAACAAACTATAGTAGTGTAGATAATATAAATAGATGTTTAAATTGCTAACAAACTAAATCATTTTTGCAAACATATCATCTACAATCAAAATTCAAACAATATAATTAGCACTACAATTGATGCCAAAAAAATATGACAAATTTTACAAAACAAGATTAGCTAAACCTAAAAGTAAAAATAAAACACTATAGAGAAAAATAGTGTAAAATCGTTACCAAGTTTGGCAAAAGCCCTAAATTGCCTAACCAAAAAATAAGTCGAATATGGTTCCTAAATAACACATTAATTAATTAATGTAAACACTACAGAGAAAAATAGTTTAAAATCGATACCAAATTTGGAAAAATCCCTTAAGTTGTAGTTTCACTAACTCTCCTTCAAAATTCTGAGATAATCCGAAGAATGGGAGACAAAATAGGATAAAAATCAAAGTGAATAGGGTTTTTAGTAGGAGGGGAAGGGTTTGAGAAATAACAGAGATACATACCTTCAGATTTTATTGGATCTTTCAGCCGAACCAGAGTGAAAACAGAGCCGATGAGGGAAAGTACCGCTGGGAGAAGAGCAATGCCGGCAGGGGAGGGCCCGGGCAGGCTGGGTATCGGAGAGAGAGAGACAAACAATTGCGTCATCCCACAGCACAGACAATGAAACACGTTGGAGGAGAAGCGTCTGGGAGGTAACCGGTTCAACAGGTAGCCTTTTCTTTGGATTAAAATAAATCCAATGGCTACAAACATATTGCATATGGTGTGCAACCCTTAACACTACTCTCAAATGTTTTGTTAATTCCTCCATTGATCCTGGAGACTTTTCAGAATAACAACCAGTGGTCTAATCTTCGTTCAAAAAAAAAAAAAAAAACCCAGTGGCCTAATCTCTTCCATTTGCCTTCCCCAGTGCTTTTACCACTGCTTCCTTGAGTTCCTTGAGATTCAATTCTACATAGAGGAAGGGGGGTTGGGGTGTTAGTAGAAAATTCGCAAATTGATTTATACTGTAGTTAATGCATTTCACTCGAGGGTCAGATCATGCAAAGCCTGTAAACATAAAAGGAATTGAATTTTACTGACCTGCAGCAGCCAGAGATGTTCAACTTCATTTAAACTTTTCCCTCATTGGGTCTCAAACTCTTCTGTGATCTTCACTCAGCCTGTCTTTCAAGCATGCTAATTATGAAATTATGATACATGGAACATGAGCTATCTTGATCCAGTCCTCGCCTGTTGCTCTTTCCAATCTTTTTTCCAATATAGGACATCCAGAAATCAACAAATATTGGAGTGCAAATATTTCATGCAATCTTTCAGGGAGGTATGACAGTTCAAGGCATCCTTTAATGATTAGCTTTTGTAGGCCAGGGAGGTTGTACATATCGTTTGGCAATGAAGCCAGCAAAGAACAACCTTCAATACTCAACTCTTGAAGTAAAGGGAGGGATTCCCCAACCTCTGGCATAAACTTCAAGTCATGGCACTCTATGATATCCAGCTTCTGAAGGGAAGTGAGATACCTAAAGCCTATTGGAAAACATGTCAGTTCATTACAGTAAAGAATTCCCAGATGTTTAACAGAAGTAAATCCCTGCATACCCTCCTCAAAGGGGCAATCAAGGAAAACACTACGGCATATCATCAGTTTCTCGATAGAGTTTGAATTCCCAAAATCCCCATGAAACTCCACCTGAATACCATTGATAACAAGGGAGGAAAGTGATCTTAAGTTGGCCAGGGAACATAATAGTTTCTTGTTGCTATTCCGGATAACTAAGTTCTTCAGAGCAGAAAGAAACGGGAAGCCTATAAGTTCAGGGCAATCTTCGACTATCATTGTGTTAAGGCAAGGGAATGTGTATCCTATTGTTGCACTAGTTGATTCTTTTAAAGAGGCCAAATTCAACCATTCAACCAATACGGGCATATTAGAAAGCTCAATCTGCTGCAGAGAAGGGAATGGAGTAACAGAATTATCGCCATAAAACTCAGGTCCTATGGATCGCAAATTCGTCATCCATCTTATACAAAGCTCCTTAAGGTAGGGTAGCTGGCCCAATGGTGGAAGTTCCTCACATTTGCAATGGGTGATGAGAACTTTAACCAGATTGTGGATGGTTGAATCCATCATCCATGAAGGAAACCTGATACTGTTGTAGCCTGTTATATCCAGGACTTTAAGTTTAGGGTGCGGCCATAAGCTTTCTAAAAGGAGGTCACTAGATATTTTAGAAGATGCATCCACATCATGGTTCCATGATAATCCCAAATGGTAAAGATTTTCTTTCTCATATAGCCTTGCATCACGTGCCTCTGAGATATGTCTCACATTTTCAAGATTCTTTATCTCTAACTTACCTCTGAGGTTTAGCTTATGCAAATCTCCTAGGTGAGCAGATCCCTTATTCTTGCCCAAAACAAATAACGGCAGTGATTGAAGAGAAGTTAGTTGCCCAAGCCTCGATGGCATGTGAGATAATGAATGACACAAAGAAACATCCAAATGTCTGAGATCAGTCATATTGTGCATTCCTTCAGGTAACTCCTGCAGATGAGAACACCTTGATAGCCTCAAAGTCTGCAAGTGTTTTAGGTTGGTTAAGGTATTGGGCAATCTTTTAATGGATGTCTGGGAGAGGTCAAGGTATCTTAGATGCTGTGAAATAGCAATATGACTTGACAATTTCTGAATACCACTGAAAGACAAATCTAGAACCCGGAGACTTTTCAGTCTAAAGACTGAAGGATCAACGGTCCCCTGGAAGCCACCTGATAATAAAAGCAGTGTCCGCGGGTGTTTCGGAAGATCTAGTGATCTTGAAATAGTTGATGATTCAGAATGAAAAGCCAAAGATACCTGACAGAATTTTCTGGATTGACTGCATCCAACCCCAGCCTTCACTACATGGTCAAACTTCGCAACAAATCTCGCTAAATCATGCAACAAGGGATGCATCCGGTACCCAGTTGTTTCACCGTACTCATCCCGTTTCTCATCTGTGAAGAATGACCTGCACAACAGCTCCTGAAAAAAAACATTGCCAATCTCCTCTAGCGTTCCGTTTCCTCCAGTCGAATGAACAAGACCTTCAGCAATCCACATCTGGATCATTTTGTCTTTGTCCAGCACACGATCCTTTGAGAAAATGGAACAGTACGCGAAGCACTGCTTTAGGTGTGGTGGTAGATAGTGATAGCACACAGAGAGAAAATTATGGATATCAGAATGCAATGGTGTGATACAGCAGGCCATCCAGGGACGTGCTGACAGCATTTCGAAGCAATCGTGGACAGAAAGCCACTCTTCTTTTGTCTTGTGGAATCTCATCAGGCCTCCGAGAAGATTCAAAAAGAGAGGGATACCAAGGCAGCGGACTACAATTTTTCTGGCAATGGACACGATTTCTGGACTCTCCATAACTTGAAAGGGCTCGAAAGCTAGCTGTCTGAACAAAGACCAACTATCTTCTTCGGACAATGCATTCAATTGGTAAGGCCGAACCGTGGACATAAAATCTGCAACTTCACTGTTGCAAGTTGTCACTATAACACTCGATCCAGGTGCAACAGTAGAAAACCATTTCTCAAGCAGTCGCATCCATGCCTCCCGAGACATCATCGAATTGACTCCCGCTAACACGATTAGACATGTTTTTGATTCCAAGGCATCTCTAACGAGTTCGTCTAGCTCACCTACAGCAACCAGTTGACAGGACATCCCCATCGCAGATTCGACGATCCCTTTCCCAATCTTTTCTGCAATAGAATCGTCTGGGACATTACCTTCCGCGTCTACGGACACCCAAGCCCTTAAGTTGAAACGTGCCTTTACCACCTCATCATTGTAGATCATCTGGGCAAGAGTGGTTTTTCCAACCCCGTCCTGACCGACAATGGGAATAACACGAGGCCGCAACTGGGAGTTGTTGTCGATCAACAGATCCAACATCCGATTCTTGTCCTCATACCTACCGAAAATTAAGTCGGATTGCAACGACGCCTTGATCTCCTCAACCGCTTGGAGGTTAAGTTTAGGGCGGGTTCGGATGTGGGATCTGATGAGAAGGCCAGCCTCTCTGGAATCATAAGGAACTATGTCCATCCCTTCCTTCCACAATTCGAAAAACCTCAGAACAAGCTCGTCAAGTCTTCGTGGAAAGGAGATACAATTAACTACCTCCTTCGCCAACAAATTAGACACAGGTGATCGAATTAAGCTTCCGCATAACAAGGTTTTGCAAAAATTATTGTTTGCTATCATCAGATCCAATAGATCAGCCGCATCATAAGCTGCTTCCTCAACTTCCTCCAGCCATTCACCGTTGGCGATTTCCTTGAAGAAAAGTTTATGTTCTGCAACAACCACCACCTCGGCGATTTGATAGATAGCGATCCGGAGTTTTGTGAGGTCGCACCCCATCGGGACCAGATCGTTGCCGCTGCCGCCGCCAGCAGCAGCATCGGAAAGCAAATTTAGTTTGCCTAGCAGTGCGTCGATGAGAGGAGACACAACAAGTTCTCTGTCCATTTGTTTATTAACCAACCGCCTGTCTGGAATTCTGAAGATTGAAATGCAGAAAACAAACTCCTCACAGCGCAGAAACCCTCCTCTATTCAGATTTCAGATGCAAAGACTTCGTGAATTTTGACCTAACTCAATGCGCAGTCGTTGAGTTGGATCGAGAGTCTAGATCCTCTGCACTGGTCCCTGTAGGCCATTCAAAACAGCGTCGTTTTGGAGCCAAAACTCCCAAGCAACGAAAGAAAAAAAATGAGCAGAAACACAGGGATGGCTTAGGTTTCGTTTGGGAAGGAGGGTTAGATTAGATTTGAGGCTATTTTAGTTATAAAAAGTGAAAATAAATTTTTTAGTCTAACTAAAATAAAATATCATATCTAACTCATAATATTACATTTTTTTTCTTACTAAAAGTTAAAAAAGCTAAAAAAAAATTTCTCAAACGAAGTTTTTTAACCCCAGACCTCGTTTGGAAATAGGTTTTTTTAGTAATTTTTTTACTAAAATATAATATAAAAAAATTAGTATGTTTTGAATAACTTTTTAACTTTTTGGGAAAAAATGTGTAAAAAATAAAGAAAAAATAAAATTTTTGACTTTTTTGTATAAATTATTAACTTTTTAATTTTTTTAATAATTTTTTTGACTTTTTAACTAAAACAATCACTTGTCAAACGAAAGCTAAAAAACCAATCCCTTCCCAAACAAACTATGTGAGTTGGTTTTTTACCTTTTAACTTTTTAATTATTTTATTTTGAGATTAAAAATTTTCATTTGCAATAAATTTTTTTAACTTTTTGACTTGGGAATAATGTGTCCATAATTGAAATTATGAAAATGCCCTTCCCCAACAAATTTGTATCTTTTACAATTTTTTTGTTTTTTTTTTTTTTTTCCTGTTGTCCCCATTTGGTGAATTTCCGACCCAGCTCGTTGTCCATTGAACAGTAAGCTCAAACCAATTTCCAATATTCCTCGCCATTTTGATTGTGCATTTCCGACAATATTTTTGACGTGGGTAAATCTATAAAGACTATAACTCACTATGAACAACTCAAGTCCACCACTTAGGATTCAATGCTGTGAAAATTCACATTTTATTATTTTTAAAAGAAGATAAATAAATTAATTAATTAATTTTATCCAGAGTCTATCTAAAATATGTATTAGTGTAAAAGTTAGTTTTAAATTAATTCAATTCAATCACTAACAAAGGCATTATTAAGAATAATAATTTTGTGAGTGTTCAATATTTGTTGGTTATAAATTATTTTAATTAGGATTCAATATAATAATTATTCTTACTAAATACCTTAGTTAAAAATCTTAGTGTATCAATTTTCAGAAACCCACACAAATACAAATACAAAAAAAAAAAAAAAAGAGGGAATCAAACCTTTGCAAAAATTTGGTGGATGCTTTCCACGTGTTGATTTGCATGCTTGTTTAGAGAAGAAGAGCTAATGATGCTCTTGGAATTGAGAGAAAGAAAACTTAGAATGAAGAGAAAGAGAGAGAAAGAGAGAGAGATTTGTGCAACAAGCATTGTATATATATATGCATGCAAGTCTTCATTGTCTATAGGGTGCATGCAAGCATTCGGAGAGAAAAAAAAAAAGAAAAAAAAAAAAGAGAGAAATCCCTGAACAAACCAAGCTTAGTGATATGAAAGGAAGAAGAGTAGGAGATTAAGGAAGCCAAAATTCTCAACCATTTTGTCACCCTACAACTAAGTAAGAAAAAACCTTCTCAACCCTCTCATTTCTTTTTATTAGTGAAACTTTCAGATTACTTCCTTGTGATTAAAATGACTACTCATAAATAGAAATTTTATATGTATGTGTAGGAAAACTGTGTTGAGAATAATCTGTTTTGAATCTGCCAGTATGTTTACCCGAATTTTTAGATAATTTTACACTCAAAATTTCGAGATGATTTCTTCTACAAAATTATTGATAATGACGTCTAGTTTATCCAAAATTTTTTGGAAACAATTTTTGAGCTTTCTACGAATTTATACAAATTTTTAACTAAATCTGAAACTGTCTTGAGAATAATCTGTTTTGAATCTGCCAGCATGTTTACCCGAATTTTTAGATAATTTTACACTCAAAATTTCGAGATGATTTCTTCTACAAAATTATTGATAATGACGTCTAGTTTATCCAAAAAATTTTGGAAACAATTTTTGAGCTTTCTACAAATTTATACAAATTTTTAACTAAATCTAAAACTGTGTTGAGAATAATCTGTTTTGAATCTGCCAGCATGTTTACCCGAATTTTTAGATAATTTTAAACTCAAAATTTCGAGATAATTTCTTCTACAAAATTATTGATAATGACGTCTAGTTTATCCAAAAATTTTTGGAAACAATTTTTGAGCTTTCTACGAATTTATACAAATTTCTAACTAAATCTGAAACTGTGAGACAGATTTTACCATGTATTTGAAAATTTATTTAAAATTCTATACTAAGCCAAATCTGGTAATTTCTAACTAAAAGATGAAATTTGAGAAGTCTAGTTTCATAATAAATGGTTAGTGTAGTGAGTGTGTAACTCAGCTTCCACAGCAGAACAGTGGCCCAGATATCTGTAGTAACCCCAAACCCATGTACCAGCTTCGTCCCGTAGGAGTCCTCCATAACCAGCTTGTCCAGGGTCGCCCTTGGAGCAACCATCAGTGTTGAGCTTTAGAGTACTTGCAATAGGAAAACACCAATTAATAGATGTAGGAGTTATTGAATTGGGATGGAGAGAAGAAGAGAAAGCCTCTTCAATCTCATGAGCATAGGTCCAAATATTTTTGAGACTAGCTTGAATGGGTTGGCTAACATTTTCAAAAACCATGAGATTGCGAACTTTCCAAATCTGCCACAGAGTGGCAGAGAAGAATCTGTACCACTTAGTATCGAGAAACACGTTTTTATTTTGCAAATTAATTGCCTTTGCTCCATGTTAGGGCCTTGGTGTATGCCTATGTGTTTGAGGCTTTGGCCTGCCATATCAGTGGTTTTGGGGTGCATTTTGATGTATTGAAACTCTTTTTTTGGTTGTCTAGTCCATGTCATGAGCTGTTGGGGTGGTTGTAGTAGAGTGCCCTCCTTGTGGCTTTGAATTGATTAATATCAAAATTAACTGAAATGATTAACGACATATACAAAGTTAATAATTGACGGTTAATACCAGTTGTTCGGGGTGAGTCTTGGTTTAAAGACTGTACGGAATTAAGAGTTGACGGTTAACACCGGTTGTTCAGGGTGAGCCCTGGTTTTGAGAATTCTCACGTAAATTGTGTTGCGAAACTCTAAGATGGCACGGGACTTATTTGAACCCTTTTCGGTATTCGGTTTTGGAATAAGGGTGGATGTGCAGGTGGCACACAGGGAGGTTACTTACCCCTGGCAGACCGTTTCCTTGGGGCAGACCACGGATGCCACTACTTGGGTATATAACTCTGGATGTGGGCATCCCTGGTAGTTACGGTTGGTAACACTTAAATATTTGACCAAGGGAGGGTTTCAAATTAACCGTTGCATGCTTAGTGGTTGGTAAGTTAAATCTCTTTGGTGAGATTTCGAGTGTCACCTAATTTATAAAAATTACTGAAATTATTCTAATGGTTGTAAATTCTGTGTATAATTATATTGTTATCTCATGTTTAGAATATTATTATTTTTCTCTTAAAATGAATGGTAGGTTGGTTACGTTTTCTTACTGTGTTGCAAAACTCATGGCATATATTTTGTTGCCCTGGCGTTTCATGCCAGATTATGTTGAAGAAGGGACTGAGGCTGAAATTGGAGCTGCTGCCAATATCGAACCTTAGCTGACTTAGAGTCAAGATTTTATCGAAATAAAATCCTGTTATCCCTTGTATTAGGATTTAACTATGTTGTGACGTTGGGTGTGAATTTGTAGTTTTATTTTGTTGTTGGACTTTGACTATGTAAGAACTTAAAAATTCCTAATTAGTAATTAAAACTTTATATAGCAAGTTATCGTTATTTAAATCTTATGACGTTTCAAAAAAAAAAATTTTGGGGCGTCACAAATGCATAATTCAACTAATGAAGCTCAGCATGGCTGGAACTCAATATGGCATTAAGAACCAATGATACTTAAACACGTGGCAGGTAAAGGACAAGCCACATAAGTAGACAAAAATCCTGCAAAGTTATTGCACTGCACATCAGCCATTAATGAAGCCCCTTACAACATTTATTGCGATAACCCCTTCCCGTCAAGACAGAACAGCCTCACCATGAACAAGGCAAGCAAGAGCATAGACTTTCGGCCAAGATAGCAGGTCAGAAGGGACAACGAAATAATTACCAGAGGATAGAAGTAGACGTCGAAGACAAGAAGAATGTTAAGCTTTCTATCTTTAATCTATCTCTACATCCCACATCTCTTTCTAACTTGCTCGTCGAAGGGTTCGCTGGGGGACTCCCCGTTCCCCGTTGAACTCTTGTGCAAGTCTTCTAGTGGGCTTGGTACTTCGAGCACCGGTTAGAGGAGTGTAGATCGATCCGACCCATTCCACCATGAACACGCTGTATCATCAGTTAGTGCCGTCTGTGAGAATCCTTTACTTCATGCGCCAGTTGTGTTCATTGTCGTTCCCAATAACCCCTTCCTGCCACCCACCAAGGTGGATGGTCATGACTAGATCCATGGCTTCTCACCACAATGTTCCCGACCACCAAGCCAACCCTCCCAATCCAAACAACCCACCGCAGTATTTTACCGAGCTCACCAACAGCATTAACCGCCTTGCCGAGCAAAACCAAGCGTTGATTAATGCTCTACTCCAAATAAACCTTCCTATGCCTCCTCCACCACCTCCAGATATTCCACCCAACCAAAAACGAGCCCCGAGCCATACTATCCAGCAGCCCTATCCACCCAACTTGGAAAGCTTGTGACCCCCTCCCCCAGATGTGAACCCTCCACCTCGGGCCTCTCATCCATCGGTCCCGGCACCAACCCTCGAAGGAGAGGCCAGTAGCGTCCAACCTCCGCTGCCTTCTGGTGGTAACAACATACCTCTCTGGGATGCAGAACTCCGAGCCATGAAACTCTAGCTCCAAGGAGTCATACAGAACATACCGAATAAACCATCCACCACAGCCAACTCACCATTCGTTGCCTCCATCCGGGACAAACATCT